GGGGGGGGGGGGAAACCTCTAAAACGGTCGGAATAAATAATTGTATAATATTATGCGGTGTACGTTTGTTTGGCTAAAAATCAACTGCGGTCGCATATCTATGTGTACGAAGATCATTAGCCCGGGACGTCATGTTTTATGCGATTCGGTATAATTTACTATATTATTATTGCTTTCGTACAATATTCGTCGTCGTCAAAAGGCCAAAAAAAAAAAAACAACCGTCAACCGTCCCGGATGTTTTTTTCTCCCGATCGCCGCTCTGCTCGTCTCCGTCAGCTCTCCCTTTCGCGTGTACCCAAGTCTTTGGCGCATTCACACGCGACTCGTTATCGCGTCGTCCGCAATATTATTTCCGCGTTTTCTTCATTCTTCATCGTTCTAATTGTTATAACAAACACTTTTCGGAAAATGCATTCAGAATACGTGTGTCGAATACTCGCGCGAATCGTATACTCGAAAACGTTGTGCATATTTTAAAAGCGTACTGATATAAAATAAATACAAATATTTGTTGAAAATGTCCGAAATACTCATCTTTCTATTCGATATCACTCGGTTTACCGATGGATTCTTAGACGCTTACGCCGAACCGCGGAACGAATTACTCGAGTCGTGTAACGATAAATTTCGGAAAAAAAAAAAAAAAAAATCAAAATTTTGCTATCGCATACATTCTTCGGTGTAACCGTTGCGTGAAAACATCGTTTCCGAAACGATTACGATTTCAAGCGGTAAAATACGATCGTTTTCTCCCGGTCGGGGTTAAAACGTTCTACTATCTCCCGCCCCACTACCACCCACTCGATTGCGCCGTTCGCAATACGGTTTCCCGCGGACATTTGCGGTTTACGAGCGGTTTTCGTTCGTTTTCGATATACGTATACATACAAACATTACATTATTATTAAATGGTCGTCGTGTAATCGTTACGGCGGTACGACCAAAGTACAGTACCCGCGGCGTATACGTGTATTTTACGTTAACGCACAGTCGCTTTGCGAAGTAAACTCGCGCGTTAAATTATGTACGGCGGCGGCGGCGGCGGTGGCGGTGGCGACGGTGTCGAAACGGGGTTTTTACGACTTATTAAACGGTCGTAAAGTACGCGCGCGGACCGGCAATCCGCGGGAAACGGGTTGACGAGCGGAGCGCCGCGGTTTTATCGCCCGTGTTGTCGCCGCCGCGGACGTCTCGCGAACTAAAGGGTCCCCGCGGAGGCAATAAAATCCACCCCCGGTGTTGTCGCGGCGCGGTACGAGTGTATATTATTACTACTACTATTATTGTTATTATTATTATTATCGCGTGTATATAGACTGACGTATTTTATCACGTCGTGTTTTTTTGTTTTTTTTTTTTTTTTTTCATTCCCGATAAAAAAAATCGGCCGTAAAGCGAACGGACCGCGCGTTTTAAACGCTCGGAAATTCCATCCGAACGGCGAAACGGCTGTTCGTAACGATAATTTTTCCCGCTTGTTATTTCGTTCTTGAACGATTACGATTGAATTTTGTTTGACAATAATTATTGTTACGATACGCGATATTTATCCGCGGGAAAAAAAAAAAAAAAAAAACCGCAAGCGATTTTTATTTCGCGGGTACGATCTCGGTATTATCGTTTATACTACAGCCGGATTTTCCTGACCGATAATTCTCTAAAGCGTTTTTTCTCCCTCCCCAAAAAAAGAAAAAAAACAAATCCTTTCAATTACCGATATCCATTGACGTTCAAACGCCGTTTCCATCCCGGCTCCTAATATCGCAGTGAGACCAACTGATATAATCGCCGATATTTTTTTTCCACTCGTGCCACCAATGTAACCGACAAATTGACAAAAAAAAAAATATAATTTAAAAAAACCATTCAATTTTCGTACTCGCGTGAGCCGCGGCCCTGTAGGAGTTGAATTTCGCAAATCCGGAGCGGACTCGTACTTTCTTTTAACGACGAGCAGCGGCGGCGGTTCGTTGCCGGGCCACGGTTTTCACACGATTTTTCGTGTGTCGGTAGATATTCGCGGGTTCGTTTCGGATAATTTGTTCATGGGTTACGTTGTAACACGCCTTCCGATTATGGTCTCTCGGATCGGCCATAACCGCCAGCAATGGTTCCTCTGACAGTTGACAGATGATGCGTCGTCCCTTCGGCCCGTAGGCTCCACCCAGTCAAGTACGCGCGGATACGTCGTCGTCGTCACGCGATTCATTCCCGTGGCACTATCTGTCCGTCGTCATTGTAATAATATTCGAGTTGTTGTTGTCGTCGTCACCGCCGTCGCTTCGTGTACATAATATTATTATTGTCGTCCAAGAATTGTATTATTATCGGCGTCTGACCGCCACCGCCATCTGTCGACGTACGGTGCGTCGACACCGGACACGAGAACGCCCCGACAGTGCATTTTAATAATTGTTATCATAAGGTTTTTTCCCTCCAAAACATTATCGCGATATTACTAGTTTCTTTATATGTTTCACACGTCGATCTTCGCTACGGATATCGATTTGTTTCACACTCGTTCGATATTATAACGAACGATTGTGGAACGGATCCATTATGTCATTATATCAAGTCGTGAATTATGTATGCTTATCGGTAATGCGTCCGCGTTCAAGGCGCATGTAAATCGGATAACGAAAATAATAATAGACACGATAACGACTGCGGTTAATCGGGATTTTCATTGTCATACGCATTTTAATCCGCGTTTGCGCGTCGTGTGCGAGCGGTCGGCGCGTAACTTTTTTCCGTAAATTTCGTACGGTCGTAAATTGGTCATCCGTATAGTCTTTGTATAGACCCGTTATCAATGACGACACTTGGCATGTTCTATTTGTTTTTTCTCCGTACGAGAACGGGATTTATTTTCGAAGGCCGAGAAACGTACGTGTGAAAAGCAAAGCGAACCGTGTGTTTTATAGTTATTACGTACGCGTATTTGCTGAGAAGAAAGGAAAAAAAAAACAATTTTATGGCGGGAATAGACGGCCTAACGGTACGGAAATATTTATCGATAGGACCGCGTCGTAAAAATGGAAACAATCGCACGGAAAACCGTTACGCCCGACCGAAACGCCGCGACATGACACAAACGTAAGGCATGCGTGTGCGGTTGCTTAACGTCGGGATTTCAGGCGCCGTCCGCGCTCGCTTTACAATTAAATGCAATACTGTTTACAGTCGAAACACTGTCATTATCTCGCGCGGTACAAAAAAATTTCAATAACGGTGTGCGCAGTGACCAATTCGATTTTACTCGACCGAACTCGTCGCTGGCGGACGCCATACGAAACGCGTGCGTCCATTGATTTTACGTTCCTAAATAATTTTTACGTATAATATTATAAAGATACGAAACCCACCAACGAAAATAACGTTATAAATTTGTTTGAACGATTACGAATAATTTATTAACGCGGATTTGTTTTTTACGCGTCATACGTTTCGGACTTTTGTTCTCGGTCGATTTTTTTTTTTTTTCCGCAGAATAGATTATTTAATAATTCAAAGTGATCCGTTTAAAAAAAAAAAATTAAAAACGAGATGATTTATTAATGTTATTTTAAAAGTCTATTAAAATAATATGTCAGCCGAAAGCCAGAAGGTACGAATCGAAAAATAATAATAATATTAATAAAAACACGAAAAGCACTTTGACGGTTTGAATAATTAAAAACCTGTTATGTATTGTACGGATAGCTAATGATATCGTAGCTTTTTATACTTTTTTCGGTTCTATGTATTTGAATAAATAATGATTCTAAAAATGCATTAAATACAGCAGCTAATAGGCGGTTCGTAACTTTTTTAATAATTAAAAAATAAATAATTACGCGATAAACCTTTTTAGGTATTACGTTATTTTTTATAAGAAAGTCGTTTATAACAATGTCAGAGTATCGAAAAACAAAATACGAGTTCGATCGCGTTTTCAACGAGTTTAATACGAGTATTTTGTCCAAGGGCAAACGTTTCGTTACGATTTTTCGGTGTTTGTTAAATTTTCATAGAATTTCGTATTCCACGGTGGTAATAATAAACGCGCGTCTTCGTTCTCAGATTAGCCGTTCGCACGACATAATCGTTGTTTGCGTTGGACGCACGATGGTAGCACTGCAGGGCGTTGACACTGTGGTTGCGGTCTTCTCACATAGATCATGCTCATTGATCCGAAGGGAACATAATAATAATACTATAATCCTCTTGTACTCGCGTGTGTGTACAAACGTTTAACACAATTATTATTATTATTCCAAAGAACACCGCCGGTATGTTTCGCAGCTCGTTTAATCTTCTCGTACGACAAACAGTCACGTAATAATTTATCTTTGATCCCGGGGAAGAAGGGCTTAAGTCGATTTCGTTTAGTTTTTAATACGAATAGATTTTGCTTTGAATACGCGTAAACCGGCATAAACAAAAAAAAAAAAAAAATGAAATAAACGGGGAAATTAATTATTGTATGAGATCCCGAATCAAATATTAAAAAATGCTAAAAAAACTGTTTTTTTTTCTGGTGTCAAAGATATAATATTTTGATATTTGATACGCGACGAAATGACAATAACAACACAAAGGAAAAGGACCGCCTCAATATACACCGACTAGATTCTAAACCATATACGAGAAAGTTTTTGTAAAGTTTTGGAATGAGATTTCTGGTAAAGAATAGTTTTATAAAAGTAGAAAAAAAGACACCGGCAGAGCTCTGTCACCGAAATCGGATTTCAATTTCGTTTTAGCCTTAGTATTAAGAACCCTGCGCAGTATCATCCGTGAAAACGCGAAACGTAAGTATAAATGCAAATAGTTGTGGAGCTGGTCGAAATTTGAAACCCCCTCCATTTTCGGTACTGTTGTACGCCCGGCGTTCAAAAAAGTCGCGGGAAAACGATTCGTAAAACAAATAAAATAAAGGACTCTGCAGTTTTCGGGTTGAATTTCATTGTAAAACGTCACGCGCCGTAAAGGTAAAACCACGAAATAACCGCCGAAAAATACGTGTCTGTACGTTGTCATACTTTGCCCGACCTATTTAGCAGTGTAATACTCGCTCGTCTCCGTATGATAACATTAACAGTGTACCTACGGGAATCGTTATCGCCCCGTTAATAGTTCTACGCGTCCCGACGACAAACGTTCCGTAGTTTTTTTTTTATTTTTTCTGTTATACGCCGGTCGCGGCGATAGTTTATTACAACGATACATGGCATTTAGTGTAATAGTTACACGTCGATTACCGTGCAAACCAACCGCAATGCAAATGCGATACGGGTCACAAATTATAATAATGAAGTGTTGTGTCCAGTTGCATACGAGTACGTAATGTATATTACGGGACCGACTGTTTGCACTCGGCGGTGGTTTTTTTTTTTTCGTTTCTTATCCGCGCATAGGATGTACGCGCCGTCGAACACCCGCGTTGTAACGTTGTCGTTGCCGAGTTCAATTCCGCAACGTTATCGGATCAAACGCTCTAAATACGAACAAGTCTCATCGAATAACTGACCATTCGATCGGTTCGCCGGCAATTTGAAACGGGTTTCTTCGTGTCTGTCGCGGGCCGACTAGGCGATACCCCGTTTTCGATGGTCTCGCAGGTCGTCACACCGTGCGCGTTTCTTTTGGGGGAGGGGGGGGGGGGGGGGACACGAGTCCAACCGAGGGGTTTTTGTTGTTTTTCGCGTTTAAACGTCCGCGTAAACGCGTACGCAATGTATTTTCAACGTTTCGTTCGGTCGGACCGTAAACCATACGGAAAACCGACCCGCGGTACCGAAGAATTCGTTTTTTCGTATTGCTGGCAGCGCGCAGTTTTTAATTAATTTACCCGAAGGAAAAAAAAACCGCCCCGGCCATTCGCGTATTCGCGAACCGCCATTGTCGTGTTACAGACGGGAAAAAAATTCCTCGTGGGAATCGGGGGTAGGGGAAGAAACAAGATTAATACGGCGTGCGCGGTGGGCTTTTGTCGGTTATAACGTGTCGTACCCCGTATACCATTATAGTTTTCGGACTAGTACCCGAGGGGGGGGGAGGAGGAGGAGGGTCGATCGCGACTCGGTAATATCGCGCGTCCTAATCTCGCGGCCGTTATTGTGTGTCCGTTAAACAATACGCGGCGCGAGACGACGACGGGGGCCCCGCTACGTTGCCGGTGGAGAGCGGCGGTTTTAATATAACGGAACGCCGCGTGAGAACGCCCGGGAGTGGTGGGGAGTGGGGTGGCGGTGCTGCCTGAGGTAGGGGAGCGACAAAGGGCGCCTTCCCCTCCGCAGACTTTATGTATATATTATAATAATAATATCGCCGTGTCGTCGTGTACCCCGGCGAACGTTTTCTCGCTTCCTTTCTCCCCCCACCCGTGCCCCCCATCTTCCCCGAGGGACGTATATACGTCATTTGGCCGTGCCCCCCCCGCATAGTCACCCGTTTCGTCGCCTTTACACGCGCCTCTGGCCACTGCCGCCCGCAGGACGACGTTATTACGTACACGCGTTCTGCACCTAAATTTATATGCACGCGCCCTGCAGGTATCCGTCGAGTTTCGCATATTAATTCGCGGGTCCCGGCGGCCCGTAAAACTGCGCCGAGGCTCCGGAAAGACACGCGGAGACCGTCGCCCGCGACGGATTTATGTTTCGTTTTATTCACGGCGGCGAACCGGTCAACCCTTTTGCGTCCGCTTTCGACCCTCCTCCCCCCCTCGACGGCCTCACCCCTTACTCCTCTGCCCCGTAACTTCCTCCCCAGAGCAGGCAGTGCAAAAGACGCGGAAATCAAGAGCCCGGGTGTTCTTGGCCGCGCCGCCACACCGACTGTTCCCTCTACCCTCGTGCGTTTTCGACGTTTCCGGCAGGTCAGGTGATATACTACCGCCCCCTCCCCACCGTCCACGCACGGGTCGTTTGTGGTTCGTTTTTTTCCGGTCGGTATCGATCCCGCGTGGCTAATAATCATTAATATTTATACGAGCCCAGCTGTATATAGAAAACGATTTTCCCGCACATTTCGTCTCGCGTAATTCAAGCGGAAAAGTACGAAAATACCGTAAAAAACTTGAAGATTATATAGTCGCCGTGTGTTTTCGTGAGACTTTTTGGCGGGGACTTGTTAGTTTCGAAACGAACCGATTGCAAATCGGTCCTTGAAAATCCCCTGAAACGGCGTCGCTCACTCATTTATCCGTTTTTTGTATTTTGTTTTTTTTTTTTAGTAAAAGTGATATCGTAGGCGATTCTATACGCGTAGAGAAAACCGTTGCGAGTCCATAAATTGTCATTAATTTAATATTGTTTATTATTGATATTGTTTTTCGCCGCCGTCGTCTTTAGCTTTTGGACCTAACCCGGACCGTTGTACCGTGAATAATGACCCCCCCTCCCCTCCCTCGCCGCCGGTTCCGCTGCTCCCGCGAGATGCTTAGGGACTTGTGTACTCATCATAGGCACTTAGACGTTTTATCGTGCGAGATAAGAGACGAAAACACTGCGGCAATATATTGTTATCGTCGCGTAATCCGGCCGAAACCGACTGTACCGGTAGAAATAGTAGAAATACTATAGTAGTAGAAAATGTAAGAACCGCGGCGGGCCTATGCTCATATTATGTACACGGCGACGGGATATCCAGTGAAATCCGATCCGTCTTCCCGCGTGCCCCTTATTTTCGGCCATATGTGCGCGCACGTTACGCGTATTACGGTGGTGCGGCTCGGTGGCGTTTAGCGTATTATACGTATTTACGGGACGCGTATATATGTATTATGGGAAATAATATAATGAACCGGAGAACCGCTAATCATCTATGGCCCAAAAAATAACGACCCCGCTACTATTGCGCACCGCCATATTTTGCCGTTTCGTTTTCTCGGCGAAAAATGGTGTAAAAATTTAGTTTCCGCCGTTCCGACGAACCGGGACGTTGTCGCCGTAAGTTCCGCGTCCGGTGTTCGGGTGTACTAACAGAAAAAAACAAAAACAAAAACAAACAAAAACGACCCCGACGTCTCCGTACGGTACCGTCGCGTTATATTCCGAGAGGATTTTCGACCCGTGACGAACGGTCGGTCGAGTTCGCGACGTCCGAGCGTACAAAAACAATAACAATAATTAAAAAAAAAAAAAAAACCGATAAAAATAAAACGTGTCCGGCCGAACATCTCGCGGACGTCTCGTCGATGCGATGCAGTCGACGGTATTGCTATCCGCCTGCGGACCCACCGGTACATATTATTGGCAATTTTTTTCCGTAACTGTAATTATTGATTTCCCGACGACGTTCGCCGTGCAATTTTTTTTCAACATTACCGCGATGCATACGTTACATTTTAAATTACATCTCGATAGGTGTTCATTAGGCTCTACGATAAGAGGTATCACATCGGCGTAGACCAAAGGTAGGCGAAATTCACGTTATATTTATTTATTTTCTAGTCTGTACGTTTCCACTCGCTGGCCAATAAACGATTATTGTGATTATTACAATGTAGTCGTCTCGTCACACGCCGATAACGCGATAATGCCAAAAACCAAAGGCACCGAAACCGTCCTTAATACGCAATCGGTGACATTTCGAACACGGTCCGCGGACACGCGCGGGATATTTTTTTTCGCCAAGTGACGCGAAAACGCGTCGTTCAATCGCGAGTACGTTAAACGGAGTTGTTCGTACTCTCTCGCCCGTCGCGGAAATAATATTGCAACGACGTTATTGCGCCGCGTACGAAAACGAAGACTCGTCGCCATCCGATTGCGGTCGTGGTTTTTTTTTTCACGCGAATTATAAATATGGTCCACAGCGTTACACATACGTGTAATAATTGCGGTTTTTTTTTTTTTTATAATTTAGTTATCGTCTCGCGCGTATAGTATCGTTATCCGTGGGCCTCGGGCACGCCCGAACGTCTGGGGGATGTCCGGGCAAAAAAATGGGGTGGGGGTGGCGAGCGATCGACGAATTCCCCGTGTACTAGAAGTTCTCATCGCACTTGGTGCATCGAGGATACTCCCCGTCCGTCGAACAATTTGTCGCCGCCGTTGCGGTCGCGGGTACATCGGTAAATTTCGACGTGTCGATAATTTCGGATGCGAAACGTGTCCGCGCGCGTGAGCCGTTGTGTTGGCGGGGAGGGTTGTTTCTGAGCCGTTTCAACGCCGAAATTCGCACGTTCCCCGTACCCGTCGGACTTGAACGAGGAAAATGGGACGTGTTGAAACCCCTCACCCCCTCCCCTTCTCCTTCGCGGATATTAAGTTCGCCTCGCACTCAACACCGGGACACGGCCGCGTCGCGCTGCCATTGTATAGTTATCGTTACCGCGCGTGGGGCCCTAAGATAGGCGTAGGAAATGTTAATGACGCATCCCGAACCCGGAAGCTTACACTGTGTATAGACACTGTCCTTGGACGGAAAACTGGTGACGACGGGCCAAGGTCGCTTTGGCGGTGGAAAGCGGAAATCCCCGGCGCACCCGGCGGCGGCGGACCGCAGCTGCAGCGCGTGTTGCGTACGCGTTATTGTCGGCTATTATACGATGCAGTATGATGCACTCGCGTATTATGCGCATGCGGAATAGGTGTATAATGTGTATATTGTTGTCGCTATTATTATCACCATGCCTTTTACGGACCGTCAGCGGCGTCGGTGGGTGGATGGAGGGGGAGGGGATGGAGCACGCGACGGGCCTATTGTGGCCGGGCTGCATTTGTCGTCTATTGACACGGTCCGCGCGCGGAAATTCGCAAAACAAATAGCCGCACAAAGATGCCGCACGGGCGGGAGGGGGCAACCCGTTCCGGGAAAGAGGATTTCGCGCGCGTGTACAATGCGCGCGGTTATTATTATTATTATTATTTTTTTTTTTTTTTTTGTCAACGAACCATATGTATCGATGTACGATATTATTATTATATATATACATAGATGTATTATATTATACCGATGCGCGGAAACGGGCAGCCCGTGCCGACCGTATTTTTCGCGTACGGTTCATACGCGTACCGTCTACTGACCCGTGTGCATTTGATTTCGTGTGTTGCAGGGGCGGATTTCGCGTGCCCGACCAAGTGATCGCGACCACCGTCAGAAAAACCAGCAGCAGCAGCAGCAGCAGCCGTACCGGCAAAACCGAGACCGCGGCCGGAGCGATCGTACAATTCAGGCGGCCGCGACACGCCGGGACACCGCGGTGGTGATAATTGCCCGCAGCGCGGGACCGTTGCGACGACGTTACGACGACCTGCACCGCCGACAAGAAGACGGCTACGACGATGGCGTGCCGCGACGTTGCTGCAGTGACGACTTTGGCCGTCGACGACCAGTAGCCGGCGAATTCGGCGGTCGAGCGATACCCGACTTAGCGGCGGGTGTACGGCAACAGTAGAGACACCAACGCGGCGCGGCCTTTGCAGTCGGCACGACTAAATAACTTTCGTCCGTATCGTTGAGCTTCAGCGGCCGACAAAGTGGAGGGCAATTGCGGCGACCTGTTGAACATGAGTTCGTACTTCGCCAACTCGTATATGCCCTCCGACATGCGGAACGGTGGCGGCGTCATCGGCGGCGGTGGCGGCGGCGTCGGCGGCGGCGTGCTCGGAGGCGGCGGCGGCGGCGTGCTCGGAGGCGTCGTCGGCGGCGGTGGCGGCGGTGGCGGCGGCGGTGGCGTCGTCATGGACCATCACCACCACGGGCAGCAGCACTACGTGGACAACGCGCCGTGCGACCCGACCGCCCGGCAGGGCATACCGCCCCATCACTACGGCGGCCCCACGGCCGGCGGCCAACCGCCTCAGGGCATGCCGTACCCGAGGTTCCCGCCGTACGACCGGATGGAAATCCGGCAGGCGGCCGCCGCGGCCGGTTACTACAATAACAATCATCACCAATCGTCCATGGACGGCTACAGCCGACCCGAATCGCCCATAGTCACCGGCGGCGGCATGGGCCAGATGACCATGAACGGACACACGCCCGTCGTGTACGCCACGTGCAAGCTCCAGGCTTCCGTGGCCAACGGACTCGTCGAACCGGCCAGCCCCACCGACATGGTCGACATGACCAATCACCATCAGCAGCAGCAGCAGCAGATGACGGCCGCCGGTCACCACCATCACCAGCAGCAGCAGCACCACCATTCGGCGCCGCCCCCTCAACCGCACCATCAGCAGCAGCAGCAACAGCAGCAGGCGTACTTCAGCAACCTGAGTCCGCAGCACCACCACCAGCAGCAACAGCAGCCCGTTCCCCCGGCCCCGGGGCACCACAACCAGGTCGTGGTCAACCCGCACCAGCACACGCCGCCGCTGCAGACGCCCACCGCCCAAAACCAACAGGCGGTCAACAACAACTCGGTGCCGAGTCCACTGTACCCGTGGATGAGAAGCCAATTCGGTGAGTTGTCCGCGCGACATACGCGTCATTAACTATTATAGACGTGAAAAATATCGTTCCCGTCTAATAACCATCCCCTGTTGTTTCTACTATTACTTACCCGTTCAGTTCCCTTTAAGCGGATAGCCCGGAACAATTTTCGTTTCGTTTACTTCTCCTTCCCGCCCTCGTTTAACGGTAGCATCACTCGTGTACAGTCTGCGCAGAATCGTCTCGGACCGTAACGGAGATCAATTTACACTCAGGTATTTCTACAGCAATTTCTCGAGTGCGTAACACCACTAACACGAACTAATCGTCTTTCTTTTTTCTTTTTTTTTTTTCTGTTGTTTTTTTTCCGGAATGCGTTTTATTTTTCTAATATACCTTTATAATACCGTATATGCGTACGCCGTAATGAATATAGAGTTTTTTTTTTTTTGGTTTTGTTTGTTAACTAACTACAGTTCGGCCGTCTATACGGACGGTATGCATATAGTGTTTGTTTTTTTTTTTTTTTCCGTAGTAGTTGCGTGGCGTGCGTTTCGATATGCACACGCGGGTATGCGATGAAAAACACGTCGCGTTTCCACAATAGCGAATTTCGTACGAAAATACGTCGGTGCAGTGACGAACGCCGGGGGTCTTCTCGTCCCAGGTGTAATCTTTTTGTCGGCCACTCTGCCGTATAAATCATACCCGCGTATAAAAAACTAAAATCTAATCTCGACCACAATAGCATTCGTTACGTGTCGACGACATTTTTTTTTTTTTTTTATCCGATTTC